TCTGAAGTGCCTCACGCCAGTCTCGGTCGTGTCGACCCTGACCGCGCGAATTCCACGCGCGCCCATTTGTGAACTTCAATAGCTTGCCGTTCAAATTCTATTCATCGGATCGCGTTTTGATAAAGAACTTTTCGTCTTAGAATTTCACGGAGAATACGCTGGTACCTGGCGGTATGCCAGTTCTGGGACACCCTGTATAATATAAGTTACAATTACTTGCAAATACAACATGAGCGCGATAGTTACAACAAGAGCATTATTACAACTTTATTGTCCTTTAAATAATGTAAGTTTATTTAAAAAGTGTTGCTGACTATTTGATTTTCAGTTAATAATTGTTTTCTTTTAAATAAATTCAAAACATCTTTCAATGGAGCTATTTGATAATTGCTAATTGATAATCGACGTAAATTTTGTTGCAAACTCGTACTTTTCTTGCGTTCCACTTTCGTTTAATTTGTTGTCTTAATTTGCACTTTTCTGGTTAATCATAGATTCGCTTTAATGATACCATTATTGCTTTATCTTCTGTAGATGGTAATGATATCATTGTTGCTTTGCTTGCTTTTGTTGAAGATTGTGCTAGAAATATGATAACAATAATAATATAAGAAATGTATTTTTGTAAAAGTTAAAGTTTCTAAACAGTAAACAGGCTCTAAATATATACGATACATTACATATTATACAATATCAAATATTAAATTTTTAACTTACAACATGCAACAAAAGACTCTTCTTTCTGTCTTTGTTCTATAATATGATTTTCTTCTATAAATGGCAATGCATTTGGCCTCAGTCGAATTAATTGTGAATTTGATTTATCAAAAGATTATTCTTTAAAATGAACAGAACAAATGCATGCTTTGGATGGAATAGATTTGATCAAGACCCAAGATATTGACCTATAAATTGCAAGTAGTGCCATTTTTTAGAAATCTAAAAATAAAAATACAATATTCAAAGAACTATTATAGAAAATAAATTAATATTAAAGTTCTTTAAACTTTTTGAATTAATATGAAATTAACTTAACTTATGTAACTTTACAGTTAATATGTAATTTTACATTACCTATGAAATGTAACCTT